GTGTGTGTGTGTGTGAGTGTGTGTATGTGTGTATGCGGGGTTTTTTTTACAAGGTATACACAGAGAGAGAGAGATGAGTGAGGGGGAGAGAGAGAGAGAGAGAGAGAGAGAGAGAGAGAGAGAGAGAGAGTATAAGTTACAACCAAAATACATGATAACATAGACCAATTGAAAATGATCTACTTACCGAATAAAATCTCCTTTCACTTGAACGACCCTCCTAGTCTAGCTGTCGTTGATGAAATGCAAACACTCTCCGAAAAACCACAAACACACAAGTACACACACACAAACACGCAGGGGACCACTCTTGTCCTCAAAGAATCCTCAACTCACACGAGTTTTAAATCATACAGATCAAGATCTAGAATCTAGGCCCCGTGTCTCTTTTCTGTACAATCGACGAAAGTCACAACGCGATGACTAGGCGCAATCCTTCAATCGTTTATTCATTCTTGCACTTCACTACACACACACACATAGATCTACGCCGATCCCAAAACTGAAAACCTAGATCTAGTCAGGTCTAGATTCTCGGTCTTGTTGAAGTTGTTAACGTACTCAGTGGCCCAGCATGAACAGGAACTGCAGCACTCTATTGAAGTGTATCCTTGTTTGTTTTGGTTTTTCCTTTGTTTTTTAAAGAAAGAAATCTAAGGAGAAAAACATCAGAAAGGGTTGTAAATGATCCACCGACGAAAAAACAAACACTCAAACTTCAATTTGTCGCACAAACAACATTTGGGTACACTGAAAATTTTATTCCGCTGAGGCCTGTGTGTTGAATGGAGTGGATGAAACCTTGCTTGACGATAACGATTTCCAACATTCGTCTATTACAGATGGGTTAGCTGTTCGTCCTTGTCGATACCGGATAGTGACGGGGAGAAGTAATGGTTATTCGATACCTCTTAGCTTATTTAGTATGCGCTGTTTTGGGGCACTTTCAAAAGAGAAGAGAGGCTTTGCTATTTTTACAGATTTTTCTTTTGTGTTTGTTTGTTGGTTGGTTGGTTTTCTGTTTGTTTGGATTTTGTTGTTTTGTTTTTTGTTGTTGTTATGTTGGGTTTGTTTTGTTTGTTTGTTTGTTTTGGGGTTTTTTGGGGTGGGGGGTGGTGGTAAACCTGCTATTTAAAAACACCGGTAATACAATGCATTCTACACCCACTAGAACTAAGAAAGATGCACATTCGCTTTTTCTGATATGTGTGTGCGTGTGAGTCTGTGTGTGTGTGTGAGAGAGAGAGAGAGAGAGAGAGAGAGAGTGTGTGTGTGTGTGTG